CCTCTTCCTGGTTTGTGTCCTCATCCATCGATCCACTCTGTCCTCGCGCGATGCTTGAGGTACCAAAGTGCCTCATGTGCTTCCGCAATAATGTCATTCAGTACTCGTCTGACAGCAGATCTGTCAGGGAAGATACGCTCGGTAATGTCTGCCCGCGCCATCTCCACTATGCGACGACAACGAGGCAAGACATCCTCAGTATGATCCATATAAGACTGTTTCTCCTCTAGAATCTTCTGATGAGAGGGTCTCGATGGATCTCCTGGAGCATTCGGCACCATATACGGATGTAAGACCCTGAAGAACCACCTGATGCATCCGCCGACCACCTGATGCATCCGCCAACGTATGTTCAATCATTCGACGCTATGGTAGCCCGAGTCTCATCCCATACCAGATGACTCCGATAATCAACAAACATCTCCTCTATCTCTATACGAGTCAAAGTCAGAGATGCAGAGAAAACAGGGTATCTGGGGATGGTCTGGGTGTACCCGAACTAACGTATGACGCGTTCAGGCAGATGAGGAGCAGTGACTGTTGAAGAGCAAGCTATCCATCCGAAGTATAACAATATGTCATCAAATGGATGCGTCTGACGGTGATTGACGTAGCAATTGAAGTGAATATTCTCAGCAACTAAGTAGTTAAGATAGACTCTGAAAGGCTCGATTGCCTAGTTCCCTCTCAGCGGGATAAAAGCACAGGCATGGGGCATCTCCTCAGTGTACTCATCCCAACATGACCATCCAGCGGTGCGCGGAAAGTGCTGAAGGATCCAAGCCTGAAATGAAAATAAAAAAACATTCAGGGATCAAGAATTATCACAAATATGAAATGAAAAAGATAAAAAAACAATCAAGGATAAAACATTATTACCACCAATAGGGGCGTGCTTCCTGTAGTGTGCCTCGTCGTCCACCGACGTCCATCTCTCATCTTCGAATACAGATAGGTCAAGCAAGCTACCCCCAGTTGTACTCATGGATCCATGTGAGGTCCGAGAAGTATTTGAGGTATGCAACGTCAATGTAGGTGACACTCGTGTCCACAAAAAGCACAGTGCCAACTAAAAATAGAAAATAACACCTCAAATCATGACACCTGTGGATCTCCATCTCTTGGGCATCACCATCTTCCTACGTTGCAGCAACGAGTGCCTCATCAAATTTCTCCTTCAAGAACGAAAACTTAACATGAGCACCTCTAGTCCTATCCACCTCCCTCAGCACCTTCACTGGATCAGCCCCAAGATGCTCCACCATCATATCTACCGCCTTGTCTTTGGTCATCCTACCATGACGGAGAAATCTCTCTCTGATCGGTAGATGCAACAAATACGAGACATCGTCCAGTGTAATCGATATCTCACCGTGCAGGAGATGAAAGGAAGAGGTTTCAGAGTGCCATCGCTCCAGGAATGCTCCAATCATCCCGTGGTTGACCAAAGTGTAACTGGTTAAGCATATGTCACTTAACCTAGAAGCGGTGAGAACCGACAAAAACCAACCCGCTTCAGGCTGATGCAATGCTAAAATCTTTCGCCCATGATTCAGAAACTTCTGGGGATCACGCACCTGTGAAATTCCAGAAATAATCAATGTAAAAAATAATCAATGTTAAAAATAATCAATGTCAACAATTTAGTAACAATGTGACTAATCTTACCTCTTCGTCCCAAATATGTATGACAATATGGTCTGAGTACAAAGGAAGTTGAGACATATCAGATGGACCCCCTCCGAAATCCTCTGGCTCGACATCAGCAACATCACCCTTCGAAGGTGGCATCGATGCATCGCCATTAGCAGGTGTGACCAGGTCAACAAGAGGTGGCACCAGATCAACAGGAGGTGGCACCGGATCAACAGGAGGTGGCACAGGTGCATCCTGCCGCCTGCGAGAGGATGGAGGAAGTGACGCATCAGTTGATTCATCTCATGGTCTGCGGGATGAAGATAAAGAAGGTGGAGTAGGCTGAGACGTAGATGGAGTGGCCTGATATGTAGCTGGAGTGGCCTGAGATATAGATGAAGTGGTTTGAGGTGAAAGCTGAACCACAAGAGAGGATTGAGCCTCAAAAGTATATTGTACACCAGCAGTCGATGCCTCTCCCTGGCCAGAGGTAGCTGCTGCATCCAGACCTGGCTGGCTCCGCTCTCGTCTAACGGATGCGTGTTGGACAACCCATCTGTGCCTCAATCGGTCGGCTCTGTCAGCCATTATACCTACAAGAAATAATATAATTAATCGTACAATGAATTTACGAAATAATAAAAAATTATAAAACAAAAAGAAAAAAAAACAGACTGAGAAATCTCAGAGATACATCTTCGGAAATATTCAATATCTCATGTACTATGGGTGATTCCAGAGATACAACTATGAAAACATCTCACATATGTATCTCAGAAATCACCCAGAGTTCATGAAACGTTGAATGTTTCCGGAGACGTATCTCCGAAATATTCTGCAACCCAGAGGTCGCGCCAATGGTATCCTTTGCCCCTCAGAATCATAAATTTGAAGCTCTGATCGTGCATTTGAGCCAACAAACAATACATGCAGTTACTCTAAACTATGTTTCATCTGATTTCTAAATATTTCGACACTTAATAATGGATTCTAACTCGTTTACAACAAAACTGAATATTTATCGAAAACTCGAAAAATTTACCGGATTATATGATTCAGAAGATGTTAAATGATGCATTAGATGCAGCTTGATGATTACTTAATCCTCAGACGGAAATCAAATTTGGTGGAGTTTAGAAAATTTGGGAATGAGAGAGATGGAGAAGTTTGTGAATAGAAAATGAAAAAGTGTAGGAGAAGAGTCTGCCACAATAATATGCTCCAAATTGTTCCGGAGATATATCTCCGAAATATTTCAACGTTCAATTGATATTTGGTGTGTCCAAAAATTATATCTCTAAAATCTCTTATCGTTCCATTGATATTTGGTGTGTCCAAAAATATATCTCCAAAATCTTTTAACATTCAATTGATATTTAGTGTGTTCAGAAATATATCTCCAAAATCTTTTAATGTTTAATTAAAATATAGTGCGTTCGGAGATATATCTCCGAAAATTATGATTATCATAAAAAATCTATATGGTGTTTAAGAAGGCCATGGAATGTCTTAAAAATTCTTTTCTATTTTTACAACGGTGGTTAGAATGGTTTTTTCATCACAATTGAAGCACATATTTTTGTCACAACTGAAGCACGTATTTTTGTCACGTTTTTCACGCCACGCTGTAAGACCAACTCCAATGGGAGTTCTTAGAGTGGGTTTGCCAACATGGCACTCATATTTGTTGTTTTCAAGATGGAAAAGTTCTTAAATATGCAACGGTTCTTCAATGGTTCTTATATTAAAATATTAATTTTATAATATAAAAACTATAATTTGATATAAAATTTTATTTATTATTTTAATTATCATTTTAATTAAAATTTAAATATTTAAATTATAATTTTAAATAAAATAAATTTAATATAAATAATATTTTTTAAGTAAAGTGGTGGGACCCAATATAGATTCTTTAGAGTTGCACCATTAGAGTGAAAATTGAATGAGTTGCTTTAAAAGAGTAGGTCCCACAAAGAACCTAAAAATGGGTTGCACCATTGGAGATGCTCTAAGTGACATATACTTGATATGGAGTTGTTGTCCAGATGGAACGAGATGGTGAAATGTATTTTTTTTAAAATTATTTTTATTTTCTGACCATCAAAAACGTTAAGACTATATTTGATGAAGACAGTTAAACCTAAAATCGTAAATAAATTATGTTACTTGGTCATTCATTTAAAAACAGATTCGAAATAATTGTGAAGATTTTGAGAAGAGTGCAAAATTTTGTTACATTGCAAAGATAACTAATTGAAAAACAATGCAAAATTAGAGTTAAAATAGATTGTGGAGAAAGTGAGAGCAAGATTCTACATTGAGATTTCAAGATGCATCTAACGTAAAGAACTTGAAGAAAAAAAAGATGTAAAATAAAAAAGATATAATAATAATAATAATAATAATAATAATAATAATAATAATAATAATAAATAATAATAATAATAATAATAATAATAATAATAATAATAATAATAATAATAAATATGTGTACAAAAATTTAGAGAAAAAAATGAAAATGGATAATGAAACACAGTGAAGATGAAACACTATGAAAAATTAAGGATTTTAAATATTAAAATTAAAGAATCAAAAGAAAATTTAACTTTCTTTACAATAAATAACTTTGACCGTTACTAACAAGCGTTTGTAATTACTATTGCTCTCTAACCCTCTTTATAAGTCTATGTCACCAGTCTAATCCACCTCCACCCACAAGGTCATTGACATCGCCATCGGATATTCATCGGATTACACTAGATGGGGGTTCAAAACAAACTAGATTTTGTTTTTTTTCTTCTTTTAATCTTGGTATCAGGCCTGACTTTTTGTAATTCATACTGATAAACATCCACAAGATGGGGGTTCAAAACAAACTACATTTTGTAATTCACACTGATAAACATCCACAAGATGCTGCTATTTGATATTGCAGAAATTCTATATATAGATATGGCAACTTGTTCCCCAAATAAGTTAAGTACAAATTCTCATCAAATAATTCTAGCTAATATGTAAATTTCGGGTAAAGCCTACCTAAACACCTGTACTAAAAGGAACTGGTAATCTTAACCAACAAGTCAATAATACAACCAATTTCAAACCCACTGAAGACCTGCCTCTCAAATTAGAACAAACTAAACTCTATAAAAGGCCAGTCAAACATATCAACAATTCGCAGCTCGACAAGTAGGCAAGGTTCAAACTCTTCCATGAACTTAGTGGTTGGCAAAGATTTTCAGTATCAGATTGTTAATGCTGTACGATATCTAAACTCTACCATTTTAAAGAGTAAAGAAAAACTTTTGAAGAGAAGCTGGGGTTATAATCCTATCCTAAGGCCCGGTACCTCAGAGCAAAGTCTACTTCATTGCTAGCATGCCATATACAGTGTTTGATACATCTAGCAGCTGCTGCTCCATCTTTTCTTTCCATTTGAATAAATCCATAAACATCTCCTGCACAAAAATAGTGAACCATGAATACATTGTTGAGGAGGAAAAGAAAAAGATCTGGAATAAGTGTCATGTATACACACTATCAGCATCACCTGAAACATTATCAACGAGTTGTCAATGTCTGCCTTTGAATTAACAGTTGTAGAAGAATCCGGGGTGACATTGGGTTGATCATCTTGCATTGTGGGCATTAGCTCCTCCACATCACTATGATTTTGAAGGAAATAGAAAATGATGAACACCAAAACAATATCAACTTTTTTCCCTTCATGGTTTTTTCCACTTCGAAGGAGGTGTGTGCCAATTAGGTGGTTAGGCTAAAGAATTTGATTAAATTGATATTACCTCTTCTTGTTAGTGGGTTCTTCATTGAGTGGCTGAGTTGGCATGCCTGTGTAGGGATATTCAAGTAAACACTCTTGTGGAACATTAAGTAATTCTGAACTCCCGATCCAAGTTGCCAATGCATCCTCTTGGGTATTGCATGGGTTAGTGGCTTCTAACCAATCTTTCCATTTCTCTGAAGGAGGGCTGAAAGTAGTGCATTCTCTTGGTGCTTGAAGTTCATTCAATTTATTTGTTATGTCCATAAGATGTTGCTCCACTTCGGTTTTCCAAGTCACCATTTCACCATACTTGCCCTGTCAATATACAGAACTATAATAAGCCAGATATCACATAAGTAACACATAAAAGGGAAGTGTTTAACATGACATGAATCCCATTAGATCTTGAAGGACTACAGAGTTAGTAACACTAACAATACTTCCTATATACCTGCAAATTCTTCAAAGAAGCCATGATTTCAGTTAGGCGATGGTCAGTTATAGCTTTCCACTTCACAAGTTCTTTGAAAGTCTCCTGCCATTGAAACTCAAGATAAGACAACCATAACGCATTTTAGGAGACAGAAAAATCATTAACTATTAAAGCATTCAAAATTCACCTTCATCGTGTTACTTTCATTTTTCTCTTTCTTCCCAGCAACGAGCTCCTGCATATCTCTGCTATGCAAATAAAGTCATCAGGAAAATATAATTGCAACCATAAAAAGAATATTTTGAAATTCAGTTTCCAAGTTCAATACTTCTTCATTTGGGCCATCTCCATTTTAAGTTGTTTCAATTCATCAGAAGAATCAGTATCCTTGCAAGGGGCAAGGGTTGCCCTAACAGTGGATGGTGGTATCCAGTAGGGGTCATGCACCCCAGCCTCCTGCCGAACACCATCCAAATCAGCGCTCTCCAACCAATACTCCATGACTCCGTCGGTGTTGAACCATCTTCGGAACCGATCAGTCCCTCCAGGTGCCACTTTACCATCAATGTGCTTCAGTAAGTGGTCTAGAAGTCCAGTATCACCAATGAATTTACGGGCAGATGACCTTAGAGCAGTTCGGGTTATTGGGCTTTCAAAGGTCGCGCCCTCTGCCTTCAATACCTCCCACATACTTTGCTCAGCCAACTTGTACCTACATTAGATTCGATGATTACCTCATATATAATTACTTACCGCAGAATGGTAGAATTAAGGCATGGTAAAAAAAATTATATATTTGCTTCACCTCTCGCTTGACCATCTTTCCTTATTATCATGCTTCTTTCGCTTATTCTTGCTACCACTTTCCTTCCCATAATACTCCTCTTTCACCTCTCTAAGCTGACCAAGCTTCCCATAAGACTCCTCTTTCACCTCTCTAAGCTGACTAACCTTCTCACACGACTCCTCTTTCACTTCTCTAAGCTGACTGAGGCTGAGGCGCTTCCTTTTCTTAAATTCTGGAAAAAAGACAGGTTCATTTTTAATAATGACTTCTTCTTCGTCATTGTCCGATTCCTCTTCCTGGCTAGTAACATCAGGAAAAGAACTCTCATTTCCGCCACGCCAACCAACAACTGGCTGTCGATGATGAACACCCCACCTATCCATCCCTGCAGTGCTTTCTTGTTCTTCGGACACTTCAGAAGCCGATATAATCTTCAATGCAGTAAGCTGCGTCAACAGCACACTAACAATTAACAATAACCTAAAAGCTCATCGGGCAATCATTTGTTAACAAAGGTTTATTGTATCGCAAATACATGAAATGAAACAAGTTCAGTATGTCAATACAAGCAAAAGCAATATTCATAAACGAAAGTTCACTAGGCTTAAAAAATACAGAAACTTCAGCACGCCCAATAAGCTCATACATTAAATAACATCCGAAGAAAATCCAACCAAGTAAAAACATTAGATTTCTTGGCACACAAGAGTTCCCAAAACAGCTTATCTAACAGTTATATTGCAAAACTAAAGAAACCCTACAAACAAACAAGATCTTCGCTATACCACGGTCTCTCATTTCCCAAACCATCAAATCAAACAGTAACGGATCAACTAAACCAAACCCGAACTTCAAAGGAAAAAAATAAAAATAACATAATCCCAGCAAAATACATAGCCAGCAAAGCAAATCTGAGTAAGCAAAATCCACACTAAACCCCACAAGGAAAAATGAAAGAACTCATCCGATTTGAATACAATGAGATGAAATCGTAGCAACAAAAAACCCTAACCCCCAATTCATAACAAAAAACTTAAGTGCGAAAACAAATCAATCAACGGAAGAACGAAAAGAAAAAGAAGAAATGGGAAAAGGAAAACTCTACGAACCGGTACATAGAAGAGGGTGCGTGACCGACAACACAGTGCGACGAGACGAAATGTAGACGGAAGGAAACGAAAGGCGTAGTTGCTGGTGGATAGAACGTAAGAGAGAAATGGAATCACTTTTGTCTTTTCACTTTCTCTCTCTAAAATTAAACCCTAACCAACCGCCAAAACCCCACAATGCTCTGGATTCATTTAATCCTAATCTTGGGTTTCGTTTCTTTGACTTCTTTCTCGCTGTCCTGCTTCGGATAAAATGCTTTTTTTATATATACACGCTATGTATGCTGCTTACTGACCGTTTTATTTCATTAATCTGAGTTTATGTTGATAATAACGGTTTCATAGTTCTTTGATTAAGTGACTGGACTCTTTCATTATTGTGGAAATTATCTATGTCATTCAATCTGGATTATCAATATCTATCCAACTAAATTCAAAGGCTATTGTAAATCCAAGTACAAATTTTAATTTATTTGTGTTATTTTTAAGTCTCTTGAGCATACATTAAACATGTTTCATTCTCATATTATTGTTATATAGGTTTATTATGAACGGTTTTATTAAAATTTGAACTCTATTATTTACAGTTGTATGTAAATTTTTAATAATTATTATTATTTTGTCATACTAACAAAAAAAAATATGACATTTAATTTTAACTCAAAATCTTAATTGATAAGTTTTTGAAACCACTATAAAATAAGATTGAAAAAGACGTCGTGGATCACGATCCAAGTTTAATTTGACTTTGGATTTGATTCGTTTAGCAATTATTTGAAATAATATTGCTTTTAAAGAAATTCATGATTTAAGAAATAAATTAGGTTTAATTAGTTTTTGTTATCTATTAACTAAATTAGGTATGTAAATAGAATAATGTTGGATTTTGGAGATCTATTAAATTTAACGGTGAACCACTAATATTTAAGTTTTTAAATTTTTTTTTCATTTTTTCTCTATTCTTTTTTGTCTTCATCATTCTTCTATTCGAGAATCAGAAATGGATGTTCAAGCTCCGCAAATAAGTTAAAAATAAAGAGAATGTATAAATGTAATTTTGAATGGTGGCTCTGATCTCTTATATATATATATATATATATATATATATATATATATATATATATATATATATATATATATATATATATATATATATATATATATATATATATATATATATATATATATATATATATATATATATATATATATATATATATATATATATATATATATATATATATATATATATATATATATATATATATATATATATATATATATATATATATATAGGGCATATCAAGTGAGAGATTTTAAAATAAGAGATGAGAGGAACAAACAACAATCATTAGATCATAATTAAACTTATTTATTAATGTGACTATTAATTTCTCTCTCTTATTAACTTGAATTTCATCTCTCTTATTAATTATATATATATATATATATATATATATATATATATATATATATATATATATATATATATATATATATATATATATATATATATATATATATATATATATATATATATATATATATATATATTAATGGGGATCAACTTACTTCAAAAGTAACTTTTTATAACTTACTCCACAATCATAGCCTTTAAACTATATTTAATCGAATGGTTATAAGTAAAAATGTTAATTTAACCACTAAATTAGATTCAATTTAAAAGCTATGATATGGAGTAAGTTAAAAAAACTTACTCTTGGAGCAAGTTGATCCCCAATTCAAATGGCTTTAAATGGATTGGGATTTGGTTAATTGGATTTTTTAAAACCAGAGCAGTTGTCCCTAAGGCTTTGTCAGGCATTGAAGGAGCGGGGGGAAGCCTCAAGTATTGTTGATCGACCTTCATGTCATAGTCCAGGATGGAATAAGACTGGATCGCTTGGGATCAGTTTTTAAAAAAGTGATGGGGAATAGGCGCATTTAATGTGATTCCATCATTGAGAAGCTTTGAAACTCATTCCTAACACATGCAATGACGTGGCCAGCTAGGGTGTGGCGCAATTCATAGGGATCTTAAGTGCACTTGAGTTTGACATGTTTTCATGAGTGGAATTCTAGTAGTTGATCTTGTGATCATTATTCATAGTTGATTTTGATCCTTTAATTGTCATTGCTTATAAATAGAGTGAGTTGAATATTTAAAAGTTTTCACAACTTTTTAGCTTTCATGCTTTTAGTAACTTTCCAGAAAACATCATTGTTCCTTCTTTTTTAGAACATCACTAGAAGTGATTCAAAGTTTCATTTGAAGCTTTCGCATTTTTCATTTCTCTTGCTTCATCCATTATCAAATATCCTTCTAACTCAAGGTTTACATTTAGCTTCCCATGTTCCCTTGGTTAAGATGAGTGAGAACATTGTCGATTTAGTCATTTAGAGGTGAAAAACCTCATCCGGGTAATCCCCTGCTTTTATTCACCCTCTTATGAATGATGATTGCATGGGGTTTAAAGTTGTATCAATATTTGATGGTTCTGGCTTAGAAAAGGTATTTGGGAACTCAGAGGAAGACATTTCTTCTTTCGAGGCGTTAGATGACCTTATGTTAAGTGTCAATAGAGGAATAAGTAACACCTAAGTCCCTAACCCGCTTTTATCTTGCCGGGAAAAGAGGTACAAGCATACCTCTAACTTATAAAAAGGTAGCCAGAGCCTTACTTTTGTAAACAAGCATTCATGAAACAGGACCATGCAATCATAAAAAAAGCTGCATTTTATCCTAACACTAGAAAGACCGACCACTCCGAAGGGCCGCCGATCACAATGTTAGCCTCACAAAAGATGACTTCAGTGCTCAGAGTCGAGGGAATACCCATTTTCTTCGCATCTACCCAATCATACTCTGGAACTACCGTCAACTTTGAAGATTCAAACGTTCAAGCACCTTAGCATCGCTAGGCTCATGACATAACATGTGCAATCAGGTTTAAATAAAATCTTTAGCAAGGTCACTCCTTTGCAAATTGACTTGTACCTCTTCTCCCGACAAGATAGAAAGGGGTTAGGGGCTTAGGTGTTACTTATTCCTCTATTGACACTTAACATAAGGTCATCTAACGCCCAAAAGAAGAAATGCCTTCCTCTGAGTTCCCAAATACCTCTTCTAAGCCAGAACCATCAAATATTGCGGAGCTTGAAACTGTGTTAAAGAGAATGTATTCCTCTGAGTTCCCAAATACCTCTTCTAAGAGTCTTCAAACTGTGTTTTAAGCACAAGTCTTGTAAGCCTTCTATTAAAATACTCTTCGATCTTTTCCATTTGAGGCGTACCTCACTGGGTAATTTTCGTAATCATAGACTCATTCACTTCCATCTGGTCTATCAATTCCTCGACCCCTTTATTCTCGATTTGAATAATTTTTTAGGATGATTTTTATTAATGAAGCCCCTCACTATCATAGATCAATCAGTTTTCTATTACCTTCCATAGCGAGCCCCCTTCCCCTTGCCAGTTTTGGTACCCAAAATATTGGTCCAAACTTCATTTCAACCGGTCTGCTTTCTCCTTTGTACCAAGTTGGGTTCTCTTTCTCCCTTTCTAGTTATGGAGATGAAGGGCACCAATCTTTAAAAGAGCTTATTGCGCTCTAGGAGGAAGTTAAGGTTGCTAAAATACATGACTTTTCGTCTTCTTTGGCGGCTTGCGAGACCGAATTAAAAAATTCCCTTAAAATTGCAGGGGAGGCTCTGTCGTGGATCAAAAAGTATTTTTTAAAAAGGAAGACGTCAATAAAACCCTAAAAGAACTAAAATATGGTTGTCGCAACCAAATTCGTGTTCGAGAGTCGACTATGCGAGAAGGAGGTATTAGCACTTCTCACATCAATTATACTCAACGGGAACCGTTTAGTTAGTTTCACGAATAAAAGTGTTAGCTTTCGCTTATTTGTTTTCTTCTAGTTATTAAAAAATTAAAAGGAAAATGAAAAAGACTTAAAATAAATCTTTTATTAGGGTTCTTGACAAGATTGCGAGTCTTGCTCCTACGTATCGGCAGGTGCGATGAGCAATTCAAATCTACGTAGTTCTTGGCGAGAAAAATATTTTTTGGATTTTTATTATAATGCTTGACGAGATGTTGAATCTCGCTCACACGTATCCTCTAGTGCGATGAGGAATTTAAAGCTACTGGTTGGTCAATTTTAGCGAAAGGTATTTTGTCGCATTCGAGTGGAAAAAATTGCTTACTAACCAAACATGGAGAAGTGAACATTTGCATCGTGTCAGAATGGACAACATAATTCAGATTC